TTTTTTTTTTTTTTTGAGCACAAGAAAAATAGACAAACAACTTTCCAAAACCCACAGCAAACTTATTTCTGGGACGTTGCTGATCACATTCAGATTCCACTGAGCTAAGGGGAAGGGCCGAATACTTGTAGGGACTTTGACTTTAACTAAAAGGGCATCCTTTAACCTTAGCCTGTGAAAACTCTTCCCACATTATGTTGTTGTTTGTAGTTTCTATTAACTTTTGGCAATAACAATATGTGGAAAGAGCCCAGAAAGGCTGCCTGCCTTATTTTTAAGTCCTGAGTTCAGGTACATGTGTTATAGGAGTTGTATCGTTCCATAATGTAATCCAGGGCTTTGTAGAATTGAAGAATATTTGTGGTTAATGCAATAATATTTCTACGAATTAAGAAGTCAGATAGGCCACAACAGTGAAATTGTGCTGCTTTTCCATATCTATAAACATCTGGAGGTCTAAAGTCAAACATAGCCAATGAGAAGAATAGCAGACAGCACTTAACTCGTAAAACAAGTACTAAATCTAAGTACAATTTAGATATTGATGACAGCGGTTCTAGCAGTAGATATACATTCATTATATTTAAGTAATTTTAATTTTGCCTGATTAAATTCACTTACTTAATTATAGTAGTGTATGAAGAATACCTTATTGTATTATTCATTTATAACAATGATAATTTGAGCTGAATCTACACCTATCATTCTAGATGCCAAAATGAAGCCTAATGGGGTAGGAGGGTAACCAGACTCAAACTTGTCTGTAACTTCGGGGAATAATCCTTCCCTCGGTGGGAAATTTAGTGATATAAGAATACAAGATCTGTTTGGAATGACTAACAACTTTCTTACAATTAGACACAAAGAATAATATTAGTTAACTGCTAAATTACTTATTACTGCTTACCAGTTTAGAGGAAAATAACTGTACAAGTACTTCGTGTATACATGGACAGGGGAAAGATTACTTTAAGATATAATAGCATCAGCAACCAGAATTACTTTCTTAAAGGTAACCAAAGTTACACTATGTTTTTAGTGGCACCCAAAGAACACATGTATTTATTAAAAGGATCATGTCCAGGCTGCATAGGTTTTTCCATAAATAACGAGCTAATTCTGCATCACCTGAAACCACACAAGTCACAAACTCAGAGTTTCTTCTGCACATTCTAGGCTATATAGTATCCATCACTAGTCAGGAGTTCTCAAATATAGATTTTTCAATAACATACATCTCTGTGTACATAAAAATGACATTCAAGTGTCTGAGTCAAATGTAATCCACTCAATAATAGATTCTATTAAGTATATCATAAAACCAGTTGGCATAATCAGGCGTCCTCAAACTACGGCCTGCAGGCCACGTGCGGCCCACCTAGGACATTTATCCGGCCGGCCAGTGTTTTTGCCACCACTGCCTGTCCTGCTTAGCAGCCGACTGGTCCTGGGCCCACAGTCCGGCCCTCCAACGGTCTGAGGGACAGTGAATTGGCCCCCTGTTTAAAAAGTTTGAGGACCCCTGGCATAAAGTATAACAAAGTATATCCAATATTTCTTTTAGAAAAACTTGGGGATTAAAGTTTTCAAAGATGTTCACTACAGAAATATCAAACCTTTGATCTGAAATAATAGGAACAATTTTACGAAAACACTTCTGTGTCAGATCTGTTACATTATCATTTTGGAATCATAGAACTCTCAAGCTAAAGTGCAACATTCCGTCTATACACTTGACAGAATGAATGTTAAGTCCGTCTGTGGGTTTAAGTGTACAGCTTTGAACACCCGGACTAGTTTACTTGTTTTCGGTGCATTGAATTCTAACTCTGTACTGGCAGAGTGATGACAAGAATTTCCGACGCGGATCGACTTGGAGAAGGCAGTTTCCTCCTCGTGAAGTCCACGGAATCAGCATGATGCCTGGGTCCTCAGAAACACTACCAGCTGGGTTTAGGTTAACCACAACATCCGGGCAGTCCAGGAAAATGACAACGGATGGTACGGTAGTTTCGCTTCGCTGCATATACCATAAAAACTTACTTAGCAAAAGCTAGTATAATTCTCTGACCTTGCATAACTTCTGGAATTATTTTCTTGAATTGGTTTGCTCTGCTTGAAATTCACTTTGCTTTCATCAAAAACCAAACTTTTTTTTTTTTAAACTGCTAGATGCATGAATTCATGGCACTCACATTTTTAAAAATCATTTATAACATTCTAAAATGAGCAATTTGGCTAATGTCCACATCGGGGAAGAATGATAGACTTTTGCATGATTTGCGTTTCTTCAGTCTTCTAGTTCCAAAGTAAATAACTCGTTTACGTGGGAGGTTGCAGTTGGACTCATGGTCCAGAGTAAACGGAAATGACTTCCACTGTTGCTCTCCCTGTTGAAATACTGCAGATTTTATATATCATCTGAGAAATCCAGACTCCTCAGATAGCTTTACCTCTGACCAAGGCAGAAGACCTTAAATAAACAAGCAAACCATGAGATGAGAATTAAACAAGCACAAAACCCGAAATAGTTTCCCAATTACTGTTTCCTTCTGTGGACATTAGACTTGTGTTATGTACTTCATCAAAGAAAGCAGTTATTCTGGAGGGAGATGACTTGGGAATGGGAGTCACAGAATTACTGCTGTTGAGGAAGCATCAAAGAAAAACAGTCCCACTCTCTTTATTAAGATAATCACCTAGAATCATTATTGTTATCCAAACTGATAGCTCTCCTGGCTCTTAAAATTAGTTACAGCATAAACCGGGACCTTGGATCCACCTTTCTTATAACTTGTTAATATTGTGGAACCCGTAAGCAAACTCCATGGGGAATTTAATATAACTAGAATTAGCGTAGTAGTTCTACTATAGGAGGAGGGACCAACATCCCCCAGAATGAGTTCTCTAAGAGCTAACTTCGCATCAGATCCAGGAACGCCCTGGAGAGCCGCTCTCATTACAGACTTCATCTGAGGAGGAATCCATAACTACTGGAAGGCTCAGCTGAATTACACTGGGATAAATTTTCACTGCTAAATTGATCTAGAGAAGAGGATTATGAGTGGCTTATGTCTGAGAGAAAGAAGGTCGACTAATGTGTTCAGGATCCCTGTATACAGGGAAAGTAAATCTTTCTCATTTGAAATCTTGTCCTCCGTCATCCAAGTCCCTCTAAAGCCCTTTTCTCCGTTTGCAGTGGCCTCATCAAGATTGCAGAGGTTAGACAACTCCACTGTTCGCACATACTCATGTTGACAAGCCACTCAAAGGAGGCAGCACTGACCTGCTGTGAGTAGTTTTCCTCTGGCTGACCAAAAACAAGAACACCAAAAAATTAAATAAGAAAGAAAGGAAAACAATGGAACCTATACAAACTAGTAGACTAGCCAATAGACACTATATTCTTTGATATGGCCTAGCAGGGCAGAGGTGAGAAACCCTTTGGAATGGCTACATACAGGGGGGGAAAGGAACCTTTATGTTATAATTCTCAACCTAAAATTTCCTATCACCGTCTGTCTGACGTGGTTTGAGGGCCGTCGGTTGGAAAACTGTCACCCTGTGCCTGCACATCAGTGGGTTGAGACCACACTGTTTTCTATTTTTAGTGGCGTTTCACTTTGATTCCCGTAGCACTTTATTGATGAGAATTTGACACTTAAAAATTATATATTTTACACAAGGAAGCTGAAGTAGGCAGGTAGTGATTGAAGTTCACAGAATCAAATAGTGGCAGAAAACAGGAAAATGATTCGGATGTGGTTTCATAATAGAAACAGAAGCAGAAACCGAACCTTGTGACCTTTTCAGAACGTTGGTTTTCAGGGATGTAATTTACAGTTCCTAAAAACAAACATGGACTTTAAGTATCTGGAGCAAAATAAAATGACTTCTAAGACTGGGAGAAAGAACCAGTGGAAAACCTTATTCCTATTTAGATAAATATTAATTAATGCAAACTGTTTCCAAATCCCCCAAAATGGGGTTATTGAAGGACAGACAGTCTTGTTGGTAAAACGGTGGTTTCCTAGATTTATACATGTCATTATTCATCATTTCATAAATGTCAAATTATTTGTAATTTTTTTAACTTAAAAGTGTTCTTTACCAAGACATTTTGCCTTTTTAAGTGAATTAATATTTTGGAAAATTACTTTTAAGAGCAATACTTACGCTCAGGGTGGGGAGAGGAAGCAGCTCACCTTGTGCTATTGATTCATGGCCTTGAACTAGCAGCTCCGTGCAATTTATTGTTGGCCTTTTGGGCCTAATACGGGAGCTGATATGCTGCCTTTTTTGGGTCTCTATTTGAAACTGATATATATGTAACAAAGTGTGTCCAGATAAGAGACTTAATTTCAGACTGTACAACCTAACATTAAATATGTAATTATGGTACACAATTTGGCATCTAATTAGTCCTGATTTAAAGTATGTAACAATTTGACAAAATAAGAGGCTTTCCAAAATTCTATATCAGCTTCTACACATAATATGATGATTACCCCAGGAGCTGAGCACTTCACTGATTTACCAATGACTATTTAATGTTTTCTGTAGTGTTTGCTTCTGAGCTCTTGACTGATGGGTAGGGTTACTTTAACTATTTGTGATTTGTTTGTTGTATGCGCATTCTGGTTTACATTTCCCAGTTTTTATCATTAAATGGGATGACATTTATTTACAATAAACAAATAAATCTAGGACAACCAATTTTTATTCTGGTGAGACATCAACACTTTCATCATCAAGTAATTTGGACGATGCTATCTACTGTTTCTGTTATGTCAGTAATAGCCATTGTGAGCCTTCCAAAGTATCTTATGGTTTAAAAGAATCATTGATACCATACCACTGACACAGATGCTTTAAAATACGTTATTTATTATGTTTTCATCACAATTAAACAAAGGTATCCTTGTAAGAGCTCTAGAATACAAGTCTATTTGGACAAATAAATATAAATTGGAATACAAATCTATTCCATGAAAGAGGTCAATCCAACCCAATTTATTAATGAACACGTTGTGAATTTTGCAGACGGCATTCTGTGACTACCTTTGTTTATATTACTGCCATACTTTCCACAAAGTTGAGCAAATTCTATTATATACTAAGCTCCCCTGCACAAAACTGGAGAAGAGCAAATGTTAATTACATCCAGCTATTGGTTAGATCCTAGGTGATTTCATTGTCATTATCATTTAGGCCAGGGGTGGGCAGGCTGGATGGAGGTTCACCAAAGAGTGGAAAGAGATTTACCAGTCTGAGACCTTCCCGTGAGATCACCGTGTCCCTTCTGTGTTTTAGATGTCGTCTTTTCGGTCTACACTACCTGAAGTGCACTACCACCTCAGAAGGGGGGGGCAATGGAGACCTTCGTGGAGACTGAATTCCAAGGAAATAACAACAAAGCGACGATTTAATAAAAGCTGAAAAATGCGATTGGGGGGGAGTCCGACATTACATCTGATTAGTTTACTACAATTGTAATAAAACGCTTAAGTCATTTGGATAATAAACATGATCCACGTCGTAAATTCTGTACAACAGATGCTTTTATGAAATGAAGCCACTTGTTTTTTCATGTTTTCTTGTAATATACTAGACATTTATGTATGACCGTGTATTTCTTTTTAAATGTGTCTTAATGTAAATGGATATAAATATGATTTTTTAAAAAATAAATTATATGGTTCATGGAGTCTCAAGTGCAAACATTTGACAATTCCAAGTACTCTTTGTATTCTATCATGCCACCATTTCTACAGTTTCTGGATTGTAACGGTCAATCGATATGTTTCCTTGAAGCATATTCCACATGTTTCTCCTTCAAGTCTGTCAATCCTTAAAAGCTGAACACCTGCCTCTGATCATGTAAAAAAGAATGATTTAACCTGGAACTGGAGCCAAAAATAGACCTTCCAAGGCAATCAGGGATGTCCTATATCTTTAGAAATAGCACTGTGACGGCTCGATCTCCTTTTCAATACAAAACAAAGCCAAACTGTTTACAATAGTCAAAAGCAATTATTTAAAAATTTATATATAAAAACATTATCTTGTTACCTGTGGACCAAGGGGAGGGGGGGAAGACTTCTTTACTAAGAACCATGTGTTTATTCAAATATCTTAAACCGCCAGCCAGCACTGGACAGTGAATGTCAACCACTTCAGAGTCTGAGGCTCATTTCTGATGGAAAAAACAAAACCCCAGAAACCTTTTCGTTTTGTCAATCTAACAGGGCATTAGCCAGACTCACGTCTAATGTTATAAGCTTTTTGCCGAGATGGCCTTGTTGAGACTTCCCTAAAGTCAGTTTTATCAGAGGAAATAAATGAAAGACAGAATGATTAACATATATACTGTATAAAAGTATAGAAGAGTAATCTCTTCCCTGTGGCTTTATTTGGTCGTGTTATACTGTTGTTTATTCTTTGTTTATATGGAAGATTTCAAAGTAAAACCTATTTAATAATACCACTTATCTAACCGCTGATTTTCTGCTGCTTGATCTTACTAAGCGCAAGACCTGTCATTAGTAATTTCTCTTTTGTACTTTAATTTGCTATGTTTGCACGTACATTACCTTTGTTTTGATGTCTATTTTTGTTTTAACAGATTCAGTCAAAAGATAATGGTAACAGAAACCCTCTCCATTGTCAATAAAAAAAAAAAATACTTCCAGTTCTCTGTTTAAGCTTTGTTTTCTAGTTACATAGAGAGGGTTTGGCAATTTACACGAACCACAAGGAAAAACATTCTTTGAGAAAGGCGCGTGCTAATAGTTTCAAAATTGAGTCTGCCACAAGAGGGAGTACCAAACTTACTTATAGGAGTAAACTTTCTAAAATCATTACCTGAGTAGAAACAATGAGAAAGAGCTTTCTAAGCTCTTGTGAACATGAGGATCTTTATTCACAGAAATTAAATGTAATATAGGAACTATGATAAAATGCCATACCAAATTCGTTTCTACTCTTTTATACTACTCAATCACTAAAGTCGGTTTCTTCCTTTTACAGCTCCAGTAAGAAACAATGATCATCTATAATAGACCCTAACATATAGTGATCTAAAAGATGGATCTGCTTCCCTCAAAAAACATGAAATATGCACTTACTCATAAGATAATTACTACTGTACTCCATAATTCACTGACTGCATTAAGTTCCGAATCTCAGTGTTCTTCCTTGGACCATCAACGTTATGAATTCTTGCATTTTTAACGATCAGGACCTTTTAAATACATCTTTATATAAGGTAAACCACTGTTTAAATAAGAGGCAGATCTCATTTGAAAATATTGAATAGATTTTTAATGAGCAAAATATTTAATTGGAAAACATCTACAAATTTTGAAAGTACAGTACATTTTCATTTTCCTAATGCCTAACAGTAAAATTTCTATAGAAATACCAAAAGAAAACAAAGAATTTATTTTAGCAAATTTAAGTATATTGCATTTTCTAGTAGCATTATATTGTTTTTTTAAAGATATATTTAATTCAGAATATTTTAGTTACTATCTCGGGAAAATGATTCAGAGTTGGTATTAAAATAGAAAATTCTATTTTTTCTCCCCAATTTTAAGCAGTCTGATGACTCAAGTGTATCTTTCTTGCCCCATTTTTAGGTCCATGAAAATAACAGTTCTTTTCTGACACTGCAAAGAGACGCATTTTGTCAATGAGACACAGGAAACAGTTCCCCAGTCACATGCACCGTTCTCAGGTCCCACTTTCAACTTGAAAACAACCTATTTGCTGAAATACCCCTTAATGTTTGATCACCAGGAAAAATGTGCAAGAGAACCAAAGATGTGACCTTTACACAACGCGTGGGTCTTAAGCCTGAGCTTATACTTTGTGAACGAAGGATGATATATATTCATCCTTGATATATTCAATTGAATTGAATATACATTCAATTTTGTCATCTTAAATTAACTGACTCTTCTGTGGAAAAAACAAAGCATTACATTTTTACTGCTAAGACACTGAAAGTGGATTATTAGTAAAGACCCCAGTTGTGACTGATAATGGATAAAATGTACCTAACACGAGAGACAGGTTAAGGAACTCATCAGCTTCAAATTGTTGAGTGTCTATGTCATTGGCTTAATTCAGGCTACTAAAGTAATTTAAGGGAAAAAGTAGATGAATTTTTTTTTTTAGGTGTAACAATTGAAAGGACAATTTAAGCAAACAGTTTACACTGAGAAGCCATTTATTTTGTAGCCCTTAGTCCAAAAAACATTCACATTTTCAGAAAGTTTTTATACAGGTTGTAAGTTCCCTTTATGAAACAAGTAAACAAACTCTTATCTATTCTCTCTCACACATATTTTTATGTACCCAGACTATTATGTTAGGACAGTCTGCTATTGACGATAATGCTCCTGATGGATTAAAAGATACAGAACTATTTGCAATTCTTCTAGATTCAATAGCCATAGCATGCTTTTGTGTTAAAATGTATTCTTGGATAACTGATGTCATGTAGAACCCTAAGTAAACCAAATATTGAATTACATCTATCTCCTTTAGTTAACTGGCACATTACCATGAGCTTATTAAAAAGATTCACTTTTCAATTAATTGTGTTTTTTTTCCTTCAAAATACTTCAGAGTTTAAAGAAGTTAAATGGTAAGACACATTCAGACATTCTAATATTTTTCAATGAGTTATTTTAAAATCAGAGATTTTACATCAAAATATGTATTTTTGGTTTCTCTTAAAAGCCAGAAGCTCTTGCAGCAGAGGACCTGTCTCCTTCTTGGGCCATATCCTGCTGAGGCGAAGTAAGGGCTGCCCCGGGGTGGAGCAGGTGTTCCCCCTGTTCACGGCTCCCTGGTGTCCTTTTCATACTGGAACCAATGGGCTCAAGCTTCCTTCAGAAGCTCCTTGACATCACGTAACATGCCTGGAAGGCCCCTGGGCCTTATATCATTTGCACATCATTTTTTTTTGTTCGTTTGTTTCCCCGGGAAGCTGGAATCATTAGGAAGGACACAATCAGCTAAGAACTTGAGACAATGGGAAGGGCTCCTAGGAGTCCTCATCCCTGTAAAGAGACTGGACTAAAAACCCTTTAGGTTCTCAGCCAGGTAGGTGATTTCCTTCTTGGTTAAGTAACAAATGAGCCAAAGGCACAGCTTTAACCCCGGTGTCCAACCTTCCCTCCAAAGACATGGCTGCCCAGGTGCCTCCTACCTAGATGACAATTTCATCTGTCTAGATGCCTACCTAAACTTCTCATTTCATCCGCTTTATTGAAAACAATGTGAGCGGGCTCGGCACCTGTGGCTCAAGCGGCTAAGGCGCCAGCCACATACACCTAAGGTGGCGGGTTCAAATCCCCAGCCCAGCCGCCAAACAACAATGATGGCTGCAACCAAAAAATGGCCGGGCGTTGTGGCGGGTGCCTGTAGTCCCAGCTACTTGGGAGGCAGAGGCAGGAGACTCACTTGAGCCCAGGAGTTGGAGGTTGCTGTGAGCGTGATGCCATGGCCCTCTACCCAGGGGGACAGCTTGAGGCTCCGTCTCAAAAAAAAAAAAAAAAGAAAAGAAAAGAAAACAATGTGAGCATCTAAAGAGAATTAGAAAATTTTCAGAATTTCTACAAGAAAAATTCTAACAATTATTCGACTTCAATTTGAGTTTTAGATTTGGGATCAATGCTGCAGATTCTTGATTTCAGAAAGTCACTCACTCTCTACTCGTGTTAACATTTAATTAAAATTTTTTTTTCTTGAAGGAGTATGCATTGAAACATTCACATACTTAGTACCAGATACCTTTTTCTTAAGCCAAAGCAGTAGAGAACATGTAATGAACCATGTTACAGGCAGCCAACAACAGTGAAAACCGGTGAAACAGACCCAAAGGCACGGGCCTGTCACTAGTTTCCATTACATTTGCTCAGACTAAGTTTTACAATTCACATTTCTCTTCGCAAGTAATTTCTATTTAAATATTCATGTCTTGGAAAGGACGCAAATAACTTAATTTTAATTTGGAAATTAACCCAAATTGACTCCACATTGGAAAAAAAAAGTCACGCTGCCTGCTTCAACGCTGCTTCTATGTGGCCAAAAATGCTGGGATCTTCAATCGTCGGAGTGACCTGGAAAGAAATTTAGTGTCGGATAAGTGCTCTTCCTTGAACCCCTTGTACCGTCCCTATGATTAATCAATTGTGTGTAATATCGTTTTCCCCATCACCTTATAATATTCACACAGAAATGTTCACAAGGAATTTCGAAGCTAATATGTTAACATTCATCTATAATCTCCCAGAGTAATAAAATAAATGACTCAATTAGCAAAACTGTTTGTCCTGGACGGTACATTCTCTAGAGTTCTTAAGAGGAACTATCTGTTTCTACAGAAAGAGAATTTGGGAGGCATTTACTTACACAACCAGTCTTTATTACTGTATTGCCTTTTATTTGACCGTGATGATAAAAATATGTGTTATAATGTGCACACAAATTGAAAGAGTGCATACACTTGATTCAGCCTAACATTTCCTAAAATAATTGCAAAAGTCATTCCAGAACAGGAGAAATAATTAACATGTATGAAGTAGAACATTCCAAACATCTAGGGACAGCCTCAATTGTGTCATTGTCTCATTCATTAACAGCAATTAATGACAGTAATAAAGGAATTTAATTGATTCCTTTAATTCAATTGGATTGAGTATCCACACATAAGGTTGAATTTAACTGGCAATTACTAATAGCAAAAAAAAAAAAAAAATCTCCCACACTGGTTCTTATGTATAATCAAAGCATATGTTCTTAACTAAACTGTATTTCTTTCTAAAACCCTCATTCCTACATAGCATACAACTACAAATTTTCCATATTAAAGTATTATTATATGTCTTCTAAAAATGCAATTCATGTTTGAGAACCAATTTTGAGAGCTCTGCTGATGCCGAGAGTGTGGATAAAACCCTCAGAACTCGGCATTAAGTGTCTTGGTGATTTACCTTGTACGGCTTGCCATTGACGAGGTCAGACAAAGCTGACCGGGGAATCTTGCCAGATCTGGTTTTGGGTAACTGTTTGACAAACACGGCATTCCGAAAAGCAGCCACAGGGCCGATGTTCTGTCGAACGTGTTTCACAATTTCTTCCAAAACTTGTTCCTCTGTTATTTTTATATCTAGTGAGAAAGTTGAGATGGTGAGCACTGCATTAACCTTAGTTAATCATTCAGGGCCCCAGCGGTCAGAGGATACAAAGATCTCTCACCTTTTTTCAGCACACAGAGTGCTAAGGGGACGTGACCTTTCAAAGGATCTTCCTTGCCCACAACGGCACAGTCTGCCACGGTACCGTGGGAAAGCACTGACTGCAAGGGGAAAAGCCATCTATTTAGAATGTATTCAGACACACATAGGTATGTATACACATACTTTCAACTGGGAAAAAGCACATGTCACAGAACTGTCAAAATTCATAGCTGCCTGTCCAAAACTTTACCAGTCATTCACATCCTATGACAAGATGAATGGTTAGGATCTCCCGGGAAGTCAGTGAAGGGTGATAATAATGAAGATAAATTGCTCAGCTTATCTAGAAAGCAAGAACTTCCTTTCCTTTCCTTTTCCCACTTGGCCAACCTGGGTTGAGTTCCGTGCTGTCATAGATCACAGCAACCTCAAACTGTTGGGCTCAAGTGATCCTATTAACTCTTGAGTGCTGTAGTATCATAGCTCACAGCAATCTCTTGGTGTCAAGCAATCCTCTTAACTCAGCCTCTCAAGTAGCTGGGACTACTGGCACCCACCACAATGACCAGCTATCTTTTCTATTCTTAGTAGACGGGGGTCTTGCTCTTGCTGAGGCTGGTCTCGAACTCCTGAACTCAAGCATAGCACCCACCTCAGCTTCCCAGGATTATAGCTGTGAGCCATTGCACCTGGCAGAAATTTATTTCTTTATCTCATTCATTAATAAAGTCAGAGGAAATATATAGTGGACACTACATGTAAACAAAGTGCAGTAGGTCTCAAAAACAGGCAGCTCCATGATGATTTACTCCTAATGCTAGCTGCCATAAGCACATGTTCAGAGGAATCCAAGGCCCAGTGGTGATTTTAACTTTGAGTCTGTTAGTGAACGATGAACAGAGCATTCTGTTCTTATAGTGGCCACCCATCCAGAGATGACTTTCCAGGACTTTAAAGAAGTAGCTGGACAAAGAGAGAAACCTCAGAATCAGGTAATCACCACTGTGGAGGAACCATTTCCAATTGCTCCCCCTAAGTTCTCACTCCTCTAAGAGCAAAGTATGTGTCTACTGGAATCACAAGAACCCACAAAGTTTAGCAGAAAATATAAATGCTTAGAGTTAAAATAAATTCCACTGTGATGGTACTTTCAAAAATTCATGTTCAAAAAAGTCCTTTTCTGAGAGATTGATATTAATTTTAGTGATTCTAAACTTCTAACAGCTAGAGAAAATGATGAGCAAATTTGTGACCAATAACACATTTGGCAGGTTTTATTCTTTCTTTTATTCATTCATTCAATAAATATCTAGTAAGTGCCTCTTATGTTGCAAGCCCTTCTTTAGGCTCAGTGGTAATCAAAAATAGGCAAAGTAGTATTTCAAGATACTTACAGTCGAGTAGACAAATATTAATAGGTAATCATGAATATTTAATTATTACAAATCTCTAAATACAAACATGGTAAGGGCTCAGAGGAAATAACTTGGGCCATTTGCATGAGAGGCACAGCAAAAGCAAACAACTTATCAAATGTGGTCCTCAGAAAAATCTTTCATCTAGAAATGACGATGAGCACGTTGGAAGAATAACATTGATCAGGCAAAAGGAGGTGGGGTGAGAGAACAGCTCTGCACAAGACCTGCCCAGGTACCACTCATACCTGAAAGAAAGCAGTACGCCCAGAAAGCGAAGAGGAAAAAATACTGAGAATGATGCCAGTGGGAGGGGCTGCAGAGGTAAGCAAGGGAGTGGGAGGGGCTGTAGAGGTAAGCAAGGGAGTGGGAGGGGCTGCAGAGGTAGACAAGGGAGTGGGAGGGGCTGCAGAGGTAGACAAGGGAGTGGGAGGGGCTGCAGAGGTAGACAAGGGAGTGGGAGGGGCTGCAGAGGAGAGGTAGACAAGGGAGTGGGATGGGCTGCAGAGGAGAGG